GTGCTTACTTCCTTGCGTACGGATGACAGCTGCGTATGACTTCAATTTATTTTCTGGTGCTTTCACTTCCAGAGACAGTTGTAAGCACTGTGTAACTGCCTCGAGGATGCTTGACCATTTTAACACTACGTGGTGCAATCATGCCCGTGGCGCGGAGTGAGGGTTCTCGACCCCGCACACCATAATCTACTCGACCACCATTATGGTTACCGCCAAAAAAAACAGAGGTAAAGAAAAAAAAAACGGTAACCTGGTTGCCGAGTTCACGACGTGAATTGGCTTATTTTACAACATCGTTACCAAGCGACGAAAACCCAATCCCGATGGCAAACACCGGGGGGTTGTCTTAAACCCGCTCTATGCATCATTTAGGCTTCAAACGAAAATCAACACACGCCCTTAAAAGGGTCGTCGTCGTAAAATATATATCTACCTTGTCCTTGCTTGGCAGGAGCATTGCCGCTGCTGCTGCTGCTGCTGGGTCTTGAGAAAAAGTCAAACGCTGAGACTGAACACTTCGTCGCTCCCCTCAGGCATTCACTACACTCACATGACAAGGACCGCCTTTGGACGGTGGATCCCGTGTTCTCTGAACAGTTTCCAGAAGCCCGACACGATAGCCTCGGTAGGATCGACGCTGCCTGACACACAACAGAGGGCGAGTGGCACAACGCGGGAGCAGGGGGACTGAGATGATACCGGGTGGGCGTTTCCAATTATCAAGCGCCAACAGCAAAGAAGCAACTACTGACGTTTGTCGAACAGCCTCGACCTGCGACACGAGGGCCAAAACCACCAGATCAACGAAAACTGTTTCTTCCACGAATAGTAGAAGGAGAGCCGCACAAAATTTCCTGTCAAGGTCGGACGTGTTCAGAAACCGGGGCGGGGCGGTGGCTCGTCTCCGCGAGCAGGCAAACAAGCTTAATGAAAGTAGAAGTGGTCGAGTGGGCTAGCTCATGAAAGCACAGCAAGCACTGTCGCCGTAAGGTGTGATGCAACATGCAAAGAAAAGCGGGCTGCAGGATCCCCACAGCTAACTGCCAGCTGCGGTGTGACACTTCCTAAGCTCAACAGCTCATACAACCTCACGTCCTGTTGACTCCAACAGCCCAGCGAACCCCAACGAACCGAAGAGTAACACCACAGCAGTCGAAGATATGGTGGAAATCCTTGCAAACCGGCTGGACACTGGGTTATTTTTAGTCTATTCAAGCCTACAATTGATGCTGAATTCTTTAATCAGTGATGCCCGCTGCTTGCACTGCTGAAATAATACTTCTAGGTGTCAATCGCCTGTACCTCCGTTAGCTCCTGGCGACCTGCCGCCGGAGTCACGCCCCGTAGCCTCAGCGCCTCGTTCCACGGCGATGAGCCATCGCTGTTGCTTATCTTCCGATTTCGACAAGAAGATCCTACCGTCGGGGCCGCCGCCGCCGCCGCCTCCAGCCGCGCCACGCTCCCCAGCGGTAGGGGCGCCGGCGCCGGCGGTAGCGCCGGCGCCGGCGGCGACCGCGTGCGTGTGCTCATCCATCGCCTCCACCCACGTCGACGCCGGCGCCTTCCCGGCGCCATTGAAACCCCCGTCGCTCGAGAGCGAGGATATGCCCTTGCCTCTCCGCATGCCCATGCCGCCGCCGCCGCCGCACCCGTTCTCGCCCCGACCGTCGCCCGCGCCGCCGCCGCCGCCGCCGCCACCCCCGTTGCCGCTGTTCGCCATGTGACCCATCGGCATGGGGGCGAAGCTTTCAGCTGGGGAGGAGGAGGAGGTGGGCGCGTTCACCTCGCCTTCGAGTTTTGCCGTCGTCGTCGCGACCTCAGTGCCATTCATGTACTCCCACTGGCCGTTCGGGACGTCGATGTCGTTCCTGCTGATCTCTCCCATCCCGCCAAGGCCGCCGACCGCGTGCGCAGCAGCGCCGGGGCCGCCGATAAACTCACCTCGCCACGAGCCGCCCGCCGAGCTGATCGACCCCGGCGACGCGGAGGCGTTCATCGCCGTCATGCTCCCGCCGTCGCTGAGGCCGCTTCTGCCGCTACCGCCCCCGCCAACGCCTCCTCCGTGGAATTGTAGGGGGTGGGCCGACAGCGGTCGCGCCGAGCTATTATGCAAAGCGCCGTACACACCTTGCTGCTGCTGCTGTTGATGCTGTTGATGCTGCTGCGGTGGCGCTATGGTTGGAGTCCCTGATTGCATGATGCGTGGCGGAAGGGCACGGGAACAAGCTTCGAAGTGCCGCTGCTCGTGGTGGGCCAGCAGAAATCCTTCCCCGACGCCGACGCCACCATCGCCGCCGTGGTCGCCTCGGGGCGAGCCCTCCCCGTCGACGGCGGCGGCGTACAGCGGAGAAGGGGAGGTCCCGGCGGAAATCTGCGAAGCAACGGCAGCTAGAGGAGGCACCTCGACAGAGGAAGACAGCCGGACCTTCCGTGTGCTCATGCTCCCACTACTGCCTGCAGTCGCGCCATCTATTCCGCCGCCACCGCCGGCGAGAGAGGGATGCGCACACGACAAAACCCCTGAAGACGGGGAGGCGCCAGATGACTCCCTGCTGCTGCTGCCGCTACCGTTAGCATGGCTGCTGCCCGGCTCTGCTTCTGCTGCCATGCTCTTGGCAACGCGTGCACTCCTGCTGGTGTCGTCGGCCCCTCCGCCGTTCTTGCTGCTGCGGCCCACCCCGTCTTCGACCAGTTTCAAACTTTTCTTGCCTGCCGTCACGCTGGCGACGGGTCGACCTCTGCCCCTGACTTGTGCGATGCACACAAGCTTCAGCCGGCGGCATCGATCGCACGGCAAAACTCTGGAGCATTTCACCTTGCTCTTGCGGCAGGAAACGCACGTTCGGCCCTCCCCGCAGGCGCCTGCGCTGCTGTTGCTGCTCGCGGCCTGGTCTCCTTCATCAGACGGCGGGTCTTTCGGCTCCGGCGGGGGAGACGAACCGTTCATGTCGTCCTCCTCCTTGACTCCTCCTCCTTCTCCGCGCGGACGCTTCTTCATCCTCGGCACGGGGGCGTACGAGGTGTTTGTGTCGTCGTTGTTGCTCCCGTCATCGCCGCCCTCAACCGGCGCCTCATTCTGTCGCGCCGAATTTTCAGCCATTTCCACTTCGTGCCTCGTGTTGCTGCTGTTGCTTGATTCACGGACATCCACCTTGCTTTCTTTGTTTCGCAGGAGGATGCTGCCAGTTTGTCTGTTGGAACACCTTGCCCGCGGCCGGGCTTGGTGTGTGTTGCCTGAGGGGCGCCGCCCCTTGCTCGCTGTTATTTGGTCACCGAAACAGCAGTTGCATGATTCGGAGCACGCATGCAGCCGTGCGTATTGATTGATGGTTGATGATTTTTCGGCAGGTGTGAGTTATGTCACTGCTCCTCCTGTGTTACCCGTCACAGACATGATGTGTGGACCGGAGTATGAGAATTCCTCGAAATGCGCGGAGGTAGGGAGGGGGCGACGCAGACGCAAGGTGAGCGAGGCACGACGATGATGATTGTGAGTGCGAGCGAGATACAGCAGGCGATGGAGCGCTCCGTTTATTCGGCGAAGAGAAGGAACATCGTCATTGGCTGGAGGAAGATGGCCCGGAAGAAGGATATACGAGTAGTTTTACTCGCGGCGCTAATCGCTACCTTGGGCATCGGGCCGGTTGCCGCCAGAATTGTCGTGACAGGTCAGTCGGGGTGGCGCCGAACCCAACTTTTTCTTGAAAATCCGAACAACCTCCCGCACAAAACACAGCAAAGCACGAGGTGCAGCTATTACCTCGCACGTGACAAAAACGACTTTCCGTCCAAGATTGCGCTGGCTTGCCCCCCCCGTGAATCGCGCGCTATCCAGTCAACAAGACGAAAGTCCCCGGTACTGAGATGGCTTTGTGTCCTGGGCTACGATATGTTGCTGCCGCTCCGTTTCAAAACTAAACTTGAGAAGTAGCCTAGGCAGCTGCCCTGTTCTCAAGCGAACCCGCTCTCCCACAAACAGCAACAGCAGCAACACGAGTAGCTCAATCCATGTCCAGAGCTTCTTTGTGAGGTTCACTCATGCAGTGCTGCTGTTTCTCCCTCCACACCCCTTGCGAACGAATCGTGGATGATTTCCTTTGGTCGTTAATTTAATGCGGGAGAGTCGGTACAGCAGGAGGTGTCCTCACTGACGTGTCCCACACGGCTGATTTTGAGTTTCGCCGCGGACGTTGCGGATTGCTGGCGCGTTGCACGTTTTTGTTCGCTGCGCAGCGAGCTGGCTGCTCTCACGTGTTGCGATGGGCGTTGTTTCGAAGTCTGTCAGACGGTAGGTCCTACGTGCTGACCTGGTTCACAGGGGTGATACGCGACGTTCTGGAAAGTAGGTGTACAGCAGTGTACAGCAGTAGTACTTGTAAATACAGCAGTAGATGAACAAAATGTTTGCATGCGTTGTTGCAAGCGGGTGCCGGACCAAAGGAGGGTTCGAAAGTCCGCTGCTGCCGCATGGGGTTCCGCCCAAGGTGCACAGGGGAGTTAGATAACGCCCCGCATACCTATAATAGCGCTGAGGGTGCATGTACTTGTAGCGAGTGATTGATCTCTTTTCTTAGCCGCTTTCAAATGTGTTGCTTGATTGAATGAGGTGTCATTTTTTTTAGATGATGTCACCGCTTGCTCAGAATTAAGAAAAAAAAGCAGAAATATGGATCCCTCTTCTGTAATGTTGTTGTTTTCTTCGCATTAAACTCGTGTCAGTTGCTAATCCCAAAATCTAGCAAAGACTCGGTCCCCGGGCACAAAAATGCTAGAGCCATAAGAAGATCTAAAGAACACACACACTAGCAAGAAAAGGGTGCACAAGCCCGAGGAGGTACACCTACAATCCCTGCGGCACGTTTGCGTGCTCACAAGTGAACGACACACACACACACACATCGGTCGCCGCGGTGGTCTAGTGGGTAGCCTCGCAGCCTGCTAAGGGCCAGGTCATGAGTTCGAGTTCCGGCAGAGAGAGTCTTTTTCTCACTACACAAATCCTGGTCTAGGATGAAAGCGACGCGCTGCAAAGCTCGTTTGTTAGTAAACCATAATCGACTTCGTAAGTCGCGAAGGAAGGGATTACCCTTCTCGCGATAAAAATACCTCAGGCATGAACCGCAGGAGGGGGTCCAACCCTCCCCTCCTATGTGACCCCGGTTGGGTCGTCTAGCTAGTTTAAGTGGAGGATAGGGGCCAGAGGGGCAGACGACAGAGTCCAATGATAGGAGAAAAACAAAAACAAAAAACAAAAAACTACAAATCGACTACAGCGTACTGCTGTCTGAAGTACTGTCTGTGCAATATTAACACGATGGTGCATGATACAAAAGCTCGGGGCATGCAGCTGCTGTCTGAAGTGCTGTCAGAATTAGTCCGTGGATATACAATGAAGGAGAACAACCAACCAAAGCCATCGTTGCAATTGACAGTAGCCAGAATATATCCAGATATCTGTGCTAGACACAGCAGTGTAAACATCGACACTGGCTAGGAATCGTTCCACATTGAAGTGTGCAAGAGATATATTCCTTGCGTTTTTTTACTTCGTCAGCATCAACCCAACGAATCCATCTCTATCTGCAAGGCGTCCCTTCGGAATGGGGTATAGAGAGTACCGCGACAGGGGGTGATTCAGGAACATTGTTGTTGGTTGTTGTTGTCTTCACATTAAAACCGCTCCGGTCTCCGCACATGCAAAGAGCAAACGTAAGGTTCCCGATAAGGGTGTGAGCTACNAAAAGAGAAGAAAGAGACGAGGGGGGAGGCGAGGTGTGCACAGCACACCGATCCTCAGCCCTGTCGACGCAGAACCAGCCTGACGTGGCGCAGTCTGCGCTGGCGCGGTGACGCGCACAGCATCGGCACGGCTGGGGCGTTATCTCCCCGGGCGTGAGAGGACAAGACAATACGCCGGGCAGTGATGTCCGGGCGGGTGTAGTATGTGCGGTAGCCGGTCATGCGCATACAGTGACATACATGCGCATGCGGGCCGCACGGAAAGATCCGCAGAACCAGCGGAGGAACAGTTAGACAGAGGACAGAGGGCCTCAAGTGGAACCTATATGGCAGACAGACCAGTGACTCACAAACGCAAGTATAGATTATAGGGTACGCACTGCTGTTCGTTCCTTCCGCATTTGTTTTTCTGATGTTGCTTCTCCCACCGCCGCTGATTCCAGGCCGCCAAACGACTTGAAATTCATCAGAGCCGGACTGTCACCCAGAAACCGCACACACACACCCTCGCCACAGGCGTGCGGAGAATAGTTGTATTCGCGCGTGTAGCATGCAAATACTGTTATATGTTGTAGGGCAGTGACCGTAGCGTCATGGTGTGTGTCGCACATTCCGGAGAAACGAAGGGGTCACACAACTTTCCTTCTTCCCCTCCCTCCTCGACAAGCTTTTGCTTAGACATGGGTTGTAGTGAAGGGGGGGATCTTTCTGGCGAGCAGGGCTAGACTCACCCTCAAGGGATGACCGAAACCTTCTTGCTGCTGCGCATATCCGCCGCGAGGCATGCGCGTGGTGGTGTAGTTGGGTCGGCACTGATGGGGTCAGGCGAAAAAATGTAGATGCGCGGGCCTCTGGCCGTCGGCGTAGGCAGCGATGCCCATCTCATTTTTTGTGCGCGGAGGCAGACACCGTCAGAAGGTGGACGGGAACTATGTACACGGCCCTAGGTTGGCTAGAGGGCGCTGCATTGCCTCAGTAACCTGGCTTCGCCATCAAAGGAGGAGGGAGCAGGTGGCGACGAGCTGAACTGGGCTGGTTGACCCCTTCGGCGCGAGAATTTTTATTTTTCAGACCAAGAACCTTGAGTGCAACGAGGGAGAAAGCGAGGAACCGACTGGGAAGGACAGCAACGAGAGCGTGTACGGACGGAGCAGGTCGAGTGGCGTTATGCTCGGGCTGACTACAGCGGCGCCGGACGGAGCAGCGGCACCGGAGCATGCGGGCGACATCGACCCGTGGCGATA